TTTATGAAGTTATTATACTTTTGCATATAATATAGAAACAAAGGTAAAAAAAGGCTTTGGTATTGGTGCATCCTTAGCATATATACATGTAAACACGTACGCGTACACACACACATTATATATATATAAAGTATATATATATATGTATACAGGCTTGGACGGGAATGGCGTGCGATCGGACGCTGTGTTTGACCACGCACATATTAACAATGTTTTGAAAATAAAACCACGGTTGCTTTGATGTTTTGACTAATAAATACGTTTTTTCGGCCTATGGGAAATGCGTTAAAATAACCAAACTAAATTAAATTATAGAGAACAATTTAAAAAATATGTTTTTTTTTTTTTTACACATTTCCAACGAAAGAAGAGAAAAGAAAACTAAAACTGTAAAAGTACTAACTCAAAGCGACAATTATTTTAAGTTACGTTAGTTAACGTTAGAAATAAATGACTTTTATCTTTTGTTACTTTATTTTTTGCAAACAAGTTAAACTATTGAATCGCTTTATTGCTACAACGTTTAGGTCTTTTGTTGTTGTCAGGCTGAGCGTTAATACATTTTTCCAGCAAGAGTTCAGTCGTAGCTAGACCGCTGAATAAACGGTCAGAATAGGGCTGTTATACCTTGATATATATTTTTTTAATCAAATCCGTTGGATTATTGATCAATAAGCTTTATTTTATAAATTTATATTTCTTCTTAGTTGCATTTTTTGAATCCGATAAATTTTGTTATGCATCGGAATAATAATTATTTAATAAGATTTTTCTTAATTTAAATTTTGTTTAACAATTAATTCGTCACTTTATTTATAAGTGCTTCACACTATAATTTTTAAGTTTTTTAATAAAGTTTCAAAATTTTTGATGTCGTAATTTAAAGTAATAAATAAAATATTCGTTTAAAAGATTCATAAACATTACATGACAAAAAAAAATACTTTTTAACTTTTACATTTATCATACACTTTTATCGTAAGCACTTATCATGCAAATCGTTAGTTCTCTCTCGCGGAAATTCTCATTAAACATAACGGCGTAAACATTAGACGTTACTCTTTAAAATCTTTGCGCAAGAGAGCAAATGCTTTTTAAAAGCATTGGTTCTCAGGCGCAAAGACTTTAAAGAGTAACGTCTATTGTTTACCTGCTTATGTTTAATGAATATCTCCGCGAAGGAGAACTAATTATTTGACAAGGAATTAGTTCAACTTAGCGTGACGGTAGACTTTGTGGATGGAAAAAAAATGTTACAAATAACATTTTTAAATATTTTTAATAAAGCGTCTAATTAAAATAATCGTTACAAACACTTAGTAGATTTATTTTAAAGTTTCGCATGTAAAGTTTTAAAAAAAAATTATTAATTCCTACCGTTTATCAGAAACAAAATATTCGTTTAAAAGATTTAAAATAAAAACATGGAAAGGTATATTCTAACGTTTACATTAAAAAAAACAAAAAAACATGCTTATAAATATAATAATGCAAAAAAACTTAGATATTCTTTGGTGATATAAACGAAATGAAAGTAATCCTTAGAAGTAATTTTCACTTTGTTTAAATGCCTTCACATAATATACAAACTTAAGCAAAGATGATTTTTGTGAACGAATAATCTCAAAACGTTTTGAAAGAAGATCTTAAAGATCGTCGTTCATAAAGTTTCGAGCTTATTCATTACTTTCGTTATAAAAATTCGCTCAAAAAATAATCTTTGAAAAACAAAATATTCGTTTGAAAGATTTAAAATAAAAACATAAAAAAATACTTTTAAGCGTTAGAAAACAAACTTAAATAAAAGTTTCGTATACGTTTTCGTAATAATAATTTGTTTATTTTAAGCAATCTTTTAAAGTAATTTGTTATTTTGTTTAAAGGTGTTCACATAATATAAAAACTTTGAAAAAGGTAAACGATTAAAAGTTATTTCGTAAATTTTACTAGTTTCTTTCGACGCATTTCTGAAGCGTTTTATTTGTCAAAGCAACCGTGGTTAAATTGTCAAAAAAAATTATTGTTCCCGTGGTCAAACAAAGCGCGTGATCGCACGCCATTCCCGTCCAAGCCTGTGTATATATATAAAATTTTTAGATACTTTTAAAAATCTGTTTAGTATTATTATGAATGAAAAGCTCTATATGGTATTAATAAATAAAATACAGGGGTATTATGCTATTAGTATGAACAAAAAATTGTGATTGTGAGCTATCAATTGAGAGCAACTGTGATAAATTGAGAGAAAAAATAAAAATAAGTGGATTTATAAAACTGCGGAAAAATGATGAACTTAAAAAATGATGTTAAATGAAAAACTGCTAACAGATGGAAGCATTTTTATAAAAACAATGATTGTTTTGATTAGTGATCAAGTAATGTATATTTTGCATTACAAGTTAATGAACATGTCCTTGCATATCACTATTAACAATTAAAGAATCCTCATTATTTTAGCATCCTTGTTTCTTAGGTTAAACATTTTTCAAATCAGGCTTTC